AATACTTTTAAATAATAAAAATAATTATAAGTTATAAAATTAAAACTTATTCATATTGTATTTTATCTTGTTTACAAATATTAACAAAATAATCTTATATATAAGCCAAGATATAATAACTATATCATTTAAGGATTATGATTAGGAATTTCTTAACAATAGTTCACTAAAAATGATATTGGATATATACAAGAATTTAAAGTATATATTTATCTATAGAAGTAATTAAATAGCATTAAAAACTGTCTTAAGTATATCAGAAAAATGTACAAGTATAAAAACTATAAAAATATAAAATTGTGAATGAATAACAGATAAAATAGTAAATCAATTAGTGAGTAAATATCCAAAAATTGAAATTAATAAAATAGAAGTTGACTTATAAAATGAGAATGATATTGCATCTCAAATTATAGAAGATATATTTGATAAAAACTAGTTTTTGATAATAAATGAGTAAGCTATAAAACTCATTTAGAAGATAACTGTTAAAAGAAATGATATTTTTTATTAAATAATAAAATTTATATTAAATAAAACTTATATTATATAAAACAAAATACAAAGTAAGTATAAATCAAGTATGATAGATATTAGTTTAAGTTTAATAAATAAGCAGAACTCAAAATTAATAATGCAGAATATTATATGGAAAATGATTGAATTAGTACAAATTAAAATAATAAAAGAAGCCTTTCATTTTCGATATAGAAAAGATAATAAGCTTATTAGTAAATATGCTTCCTATATAAAAAATTTACATAATTCTGAAAATAAAGATGAGTATATAAAATATACTGTAATAATACTATTTCCAAATGATAAAGCATATAATAAAAGAATGTTGAGATATAAAAAATGATATCAAGATAAAAAAGAGCTACTTACCAGTGTAAAAGATTTATATAATCTTTATTATAAGCTATCCAAAAAAGATAAATCTATGACTGAAATAGAAATTGAGGAAGCTATTGAAGATGTACTTATAGATGAGTAGAGCAGAGCTTATTTTTCAGAATAATTTAATATTAATTAAGGATCCATTTAGATAGATATTCAACCTTCTTAACTACTATCAATTGTTCTCTTACAAATGATCTTTTGGGACTATCACCATTTTCATCCATAAGCCAGTATAGCACTGGTTGATTTTTTTGTATTAAGGATTCTTTGATATGATAAACTTTTGAAGACTAGTTCATGTCAGTTATGTGTCTCTTACCAAATTCTAATTCTTCAGGTTTAAGTAAATATAAAACAGAATCTTTATAGGTTAATCAAGATTTATCAAATCCAATAGATCTTCGATATTTAATTGCAGGATCAGTAATAATTTTTTCACCTTTTAAAGCTCTCTTCACAGCTTTATTGGGAGACATATGAATTAATCGGATAGGAGTATCATTATAAATATCATCATTTAAATAAAGTCCTTTAACTCATGATTGATACCTTTCAGATAAAGATAAAAGGAAATTCACAGCATATTAAGCATGTTTCTCAAATTCTTGATGATCACATTTAGCTATTGATGTACTACATTTAGATTTAGCTTGTATAATTTTTACACCATAACTAACTAATAAATCCCTACACTCGTCTAAGTATTCAGTACCTTTATCCACAATTAAAACTTTTAGTCATGTAAGATAATTACTAAAGTCCTCATAAATTACTTTAAATATTTTAGCTAATGATGTAGAAGACTTATTAGTTAAAGCACAACTTTTACAAAATCTAGTAGTAACATCTTTTATAACACCCCTATAATAATAATGATAATATAATAAAATAAGCATATTATTATTTTTTTCTAATATACAAGTAAATATAAAGACAAATAAAGTAAGCTCCAAAACTTTATTAACTTGGCAGTTTCAAATACATCTTCACTATTTTTTTTTCAAATTGCTATAAGAGCCTAATGCATTTTGCAAAAATAATGCAGAATATAATTAATAATTTGCGTATATTATACAAGAACACATTTTTTTTTCATGTACCTCCATATTCTTAACATATTATTAATATTTTTTCTTTTTTGATCTCTTGTTAATTTCTTTTTTTGCATCAATAGATTCTTCTAGAATAAATATAAAATTATTAAATAAAGTTATTGGTAACTAATGCAACATTACAATAACATTTTTTGCATATATATTGAAGTAATTCTTTGAACTCATATACAGCTTCATCATACTTCCAATACCATGACACTTGATTTTTCTCACCATTTGATATTACTTCTTCCAAAGAATTTCCAAGTGGCCATAACATCTGACATTCTTCCTCCCATTGAAATACACGATTATAGTAATTCAAAAAAATCATTCTATTTTCAATCTTTCCAATTATAATGATATGATCAAAGCTGAATTATGCAATATTTATCATATAATAGATAAGTTCTTTTAGATCATTACTATTAATAGGAAGATCACAACTAATAGAAGATACAAAATGAAGATAGCTATATTTATCTTTAAATATGTTAACTACTATAAGTATATTATTACAAAGTAATTCATCTTGTTCAATATATTCTGATATTTGAGACATGGATCTGAGATCTTCAATTGTTCTCCTTGTTTCTTCAGTAATGCAAGGGTGCATGAGTACAAGATGACACGGTTTCATCTGGATTTTCTTTATTCACATAGTATCTTCCAGAGTATTGATTCGACATAATTCTCCAAAGAATACCTGCAATAAATGGATTGCTCTTTGATCAGGACAATATTTAAAGCTTTCTGCAATATCAGCATTGTTTTCACTCTTGATGCTGATATCACTACCACATTATATTTTAGTATTGTTTCTAATAGTGGTGAAGGTCTACAATAAATTAACATACCAAACATGAATCTCTTCACTTTCCCCTTTTATTATGAATACATGAGATTTACTTTCTGAGAATACTATATTGTATTTAGTTCCATCTTTACTATCTTGGCTAAATATTCCAGACTCTTTACAAGATATTTCTTCTGCTCTTGTAATATTGCTTTTCTGGAAGGTTGACTGATATAATACATCCAAAGAAGACATATTGCATTCCATACTGTTATTATTAGTATTTATCAAAAATAAGTTAGACTTATCATCTTGCCCTCTGGTCTAAATAGAATCACAATTCTTTCTGGTGACCTATGCAAAAAAAATGGTTTGTTAAATCAGTTTGAGAATAAAATTTGAGCAAAAACTTACCTGAATGGTTTCACAAACTTTATTATCAGTTTTCTCTGCCATCATTCTTGTAAAGTATCTAATCAAGAGTAAAGACTTCAGAGATAGTATGTAATACAATAATATACAAAATGTAAATATGTGAAATGATAATTGAAAATATACAAAGTATATGTGAATAAAGTTAGGAAAAAACAAGTCTGCCAGGATGACCCCTAAAAGTTTGGACCATGTAATATTACTAATTGACACCGGCATTTCCAATCTGCCAATTCTGATCTATAAGATATTTATATAATAGGAGTTTGTTTAATTCTTTACAAGTTTTATCAATTATGTCAGAACTTACATTATCTTGCATTAGTGTCACATCATTTAGTAGAGAGTATTAGTAGAGAGCATTAGTAGAGAGATTCTTTTAGTATTTCTTCAATATCTTCAATATTAAAGATAAATTCTTTGAATTTAATATTACTATTCTTTTTACAGGTAATGGTAATTAATTATGATTTTGATAAATTATTAAAGAATAATTAAATAGAATTTTAGATAAGTACAATTAATAAATATATATATTTTTAATTATACTTTTCATGCTAATATCATTTTTATTTATTCTCATTATCTTTTATAGTTATAATATCCGTATCATCAGTTAATATACTCTTGATGAAATATGATTTTTCTCTATGATCATTAGATCCTTCTGGACATGACAAAAATATTAAGTATAGCTTTCTATTTACTGGCATCCAAGTCAGTTGTTGATGTTTTCATTATTCTGTTATCTGGATTTTCTCTTTCATTGGTATCATTTTATTTTATTCCATTATTACATGAATATGATACCAGTTATTGACCAACTTTTCAATATAAATTCACTTGATTACCTGTTCAAATGATAACTAATTTGAGTTGACATAAGTCTGGATCTCTTCCTTTAAATTTTTATTAATGATAATATTATTGGACATATTATTGATAGTGACTTTTATACTATCAAAATCAGTAACTTGGACTTTTTCAATCTTAGTAAGTATAATAGATAAGATGTTAGTTATAGTTTCTTCACTTTTAGGATTTCTTAAAACAAGAAATGGTGGAGTGATATGATGTTTAAAATTATAATATAACAGCCTTCATCATTTGCTATTAGGTATAATATTAATCTGCTAGATTAAATACTTGCATAGAAGGAAGCAACTTTCAAGTAAGGCAAGACAACTACAGATCTAGCAAATAATATTAGTAAAATATGAATTATCTAGATTTATTACTTTCATACTGGTATTTCACTTTCTTTTGCCCTTAACATACTTATTAGTTTGCTAATTATTACTTGCAGATGTAATAATTTATGCTTTTTTGAAATCATCTCACCACAGTATCATTACATCAGTTAGAATTTGAGATAATTACTCTTTTTATATTGATATTATCTCATTGATGAATATCCAAAGTAGCAAATCAAGTCTTAGATGATTGAAATAGTATAGATAACATCTTTTAATAATACTCCAATAGATTTCAATCATCATTATTATTTTTCCAAAAGATATTGTGAATCTAACTAATCATACCTACAAATACCACTGCTCTAATGAATACCAGTTAGTCTAGAGATAGATCCATAGTAATCACAAGAAATTTTCTATACAGAATTAATACATTTCTCTTATGATACTTCATCTGATATTTGTTAATGTCATAGAGTTTTCTTGAGTATCAATAGATATTAATAAGTATATATCAAAATATTTCTGCATCAGTTTCAAAATTAACTCTTGATATGCTAGTGAATAGATAACATATATTCTTGAATTGTAATCTTCTTATGTTAGGTAAAAGATGAGATTAATAAAGTCAAATTTATTAATTGCTTTATTAATATTGTAAGTTACAATATATAGTTATGTTTTATGTTATATTTCATGTTATATTTCATAATCTGTATTATTTAATGACTTGGCTTTCTCTTTAAGCTTAAGTTTTAGGATCTAATTTATGTGTCAAATGCATAATTAAATTACTAAAGATTCTTATATCTTAGTCATTATATTAATCTCTGCAAAATCTTTATCAGTAAATACAAATCTTGAATTAATATCACATAGCTTCAAGATTTCTAGAAAGCTTTTCAAGACTTTATAACATCTGCCTATACTAGTACTCATATCTGTCTTAGTTATATTAAGTATAAGATAAGTAATTAAAAAGTCAGTACCTTTAACTTCTACTATGATATTATAAAGTTTATAATATCTACATACAGTTTTATAAGTGATATCTAAGTATATCTTGATAATATTAATGCTGTAATTCTTAATTTCATTTAGTAATAGAATAGTAAAACTAATAGCTGTGATCTTTGAATCTTTTATATCAAGACACAAATAGAAATTATAACTATTATATTTATTGAGCAACTTGCAAGCAGATTTAATATAATTATTATAATATTGAAATAACTTTTGGCCTGCTATAGACTTTCAGAATAAATACACTTAGAAAAGTACTTTGAGATATCAAATTCTTGATGTCATAAGTAATTTTTTAAGTCTACTATAATAAAATATAAATGTATATTGATCTCTTCCTATAGTTCATTAGACATCTTAATATAAAGATCTGGATATAAATAGAGAAATTTGTAATATATATTCACTATTATAATACTAAGTATCATATTAATATATATGATAACTTTCTCTTTATAATCATATCATATTTATTATTTACAATTAGAATCTTTATATATTTCATCTTATATATTTCTCAATTAATAATACAAATAAGAAAAATGACCAACTACATTTATAAATTTTCTGAATATATTCAAATTATGAAAACTTTAATAATATATCTCAGTTAGTAAGTAATAATCTAATAAAAAATTATTTCACAAGATGAAATTACTTACTTTTATGAAAAATTATTATTATCTTTAATTTTTGTAATTACAAGATCAGCTATCTTCTTTGCTATCTTGTTTTAAGTGATAATAATATCTAATTATTGGGAAATACTAAAGTGGGGTAGTGTAATTCAGATTGAGTTGATCTGGATTGATTTGATTCAGATTTACATATAATGTTACATGCAAAATAAAATAAACTTTTCAAGAAAATATTCTCATATTTTCAAGGGTGAGAAGAGAAGAGAGTGAAAGCTAATTATGATTTTTATATTAAACGCAGACTAATTAAGACTAATAACATTTATCACTATTAACATTAAGATATATATAATTATTAAGACATGTACTAATATACTTACTCACTATACGTACTCATAATTTCTTTATATACTCTTGCTATTTCTCTATATTTTTACATTTCTTTATATTTTCATCATTTCTTTATTTCTTTCTAATATGCAAGCAACAAATAAAAAATGCCTCAGTATATTTAATGTTAACAAATCATTTGAAGTTTCAGAAAAGGAATTTTATAAAAATTTATGGCTATTTGTTTCTAATATGTGAATGTGATATAGTAGTTAAAAATATAAGAATAATGATTTTTGGATTGTTTACTCCTGTCATTTAGCAAAATATAGAGAATTAAGTATGTATAAAGAAGGTATTTCTATTAAGAAGTAAAGAAAAACTAGCAAGCTTGATCCTGGAAAGTGTAATGCAAGAATAAAAATAATATATATTACTTCAACTTAAACAGTTTGTATTAAATATTTCAAAAATATACCTAATCACAGCTATCCAATCAAAGATAATGACAAAATTAAATGATCTGAAATCATTTGACAAATAGTAGCCAATGAAGCAATAAAATCATATATGTCACTGGCCATTGTGATTACTATTAAAGAACTAGTAGAAAAAAATGACTTAGGTATTATTAGTCAAAATCTATGTCAAACTGAAGTTACCAATATTCAGTAAAAGATACATAGGCTATTAATAGCTTATCTTGTAGGTGAGATAGACCTAGAGCTCGATATTCAAAATTCACTTAAGCTATTAGTCAGCAAAGATTATAAAGTTAAATATTTTGAGATTGCTCAATAATTATCAAAAGATTTTTGCTTTGCAAGTTCTTGATAATTAGAAAAACTATGGTATTACAGATAGCTTACGCTCATAAACTCCACTCACAATACTAATAAATATTTCTGATATCTATTTATTTTGTACATTCATAATAGTTATAGTTTTTGGAATGTGAATGCATACTTTCTTTTAAGTAATGAAGATAGTAATATGATAATCAAGATATTAAAGATGATTTGAGAATTCACATCTCATTAGTATTCTTGGTATATACTTAGCAATCAAAATAATATAGAGATTAATAGTATTACAAATGTTTTCTCTAGTATTATACGTGGTAAGTAAAATTATGATATTATTTTATGTACTGTTTATGTAATATATATATAATTACATAATATCTACCATCTGGTAATACGTAATAAATTAATTCTAGCTATATATAAAAGAATAAGTATAAGTTATGAGGAAGTAATTTATAATGCCATTACCACCTATTCTATTCCAGATATCATTCACTATATTTAACACAATTATTCAAAGAATACAGAGAAATAGATGCTTTGGATATGTCAACATTCATCTTTCTTACTTTAAGTTACTTTCACAAATCTATTAGAATCATTCTATAGTGAATTAAAAAGATTAATCACAAAGGAATATAGCTTAATTAGTAAGTATTATTAACTGTAACTATACTGTATTTTTCACCATCATTATCATTACTAAATTACTATTTCTTGATTTATTAGGTGCATGTCACAAGATTATTAAGCTTAATAATAAAAAGTGATTAGATTCAGAAAAGATTGTCTTCAACTTTCATCAAAAGCGAATCTCTGTGATTGATATTAATAATGAAACTATCAAGAAAATTTGAAAATTTCCATATCCAATTCAAAAACTAATCTTGAGTAAGACTATCACTATGAATTTTAGGATTACAAAAGGAAAATCACCATCAAATCTGATATTACCAAATTGTTATTGTATATTTTTTAATTATTATCTTCTTCCTTATCAATATATTCTTCATGAGCATCTATTCAGTCAT